TTCTTCTTCTTCTTCTTCTTCTTCTTCTTCTTCTTCTTCTTCTTCTTCTTCTTCTTCTTCTTCTTCTTCTTCTTCTTCATTATTATTACCATCATTATTATCATTATTATTATTATCATTAGTATGATGATGATGATTGTTGTTGTTGTTGTTCTGTTGTTGTTGTTGTTGTTGTTATTATTATTATTATTATTATTAATATTATTATTATTATTATTGCCATTATTACTATTATTGTTATAATTATTATTATTACTAATGTATCCATTACAAAATTCAGTACAGAGAGCTGGTCCCACTCACCACGGGCATAGACAGGTTGGAGTCCCTCATCCTATCCCAGTTGTGCTGCAGCGTGTGCGCGTCCATGGTGTCAAAGGTCGTGGTGCTGATGGCCTGGGAGAAGTCGGCCATCATGCTGATGGTGTCGTTGTCCCAGGTGAAGTTGTTCATACTGAACACGTTGGACAGCGCCCGGCCAGACTGGGGGGGGGGGGGGGGGGGGGGGGGGGGGGGGAGGGGGGATATGGCGTTTGAGGTGATTTTTTTATTTCACTATTATCAAGTGCCAGATCTCTGCTGTCAGACATCGGCGATCATGGCTCTCTGTTCATTCCTTTGCTCGGAAGCTTTTAAAAAAAGCTACGATACCTTGATCTTTCCCTATTTGTAAGGCAGCGTTGTGGAATCAGGCTCTCGTCAATTTTTGGGTATGTAGAGTTATTGGTATCATCTTAAAGCTTGTTCAGGTGTCTTTATTTGCATGGAAAAAGTATTCATTTATCTTGAATACAAGTCGAGATATTTGCGATTTAAGGAGGTGGGGGTCCCCGGTTTTCAGAGGTAATATTAGTTAGAAAATGGCCGCCAAAGATTTGTTAATTTCTTAGCTTAAGTGTCCGTGGTAACTGAAAATTTACATTTGTTGTGCCTTTAATCAACGTTTTTATGAAAACTCCACACAAAAACGAGTTCTTTAACGGGCATGAAAGGTGTTGAGCCAAAAAACAAAACATTTATAAAAATTCCCAAACCTGCGGAAAAATGCAGATTTCTTCACTTTGATTATTTTGACGAGAGCCTGATTCCACACACTGCCTCACATTTACTTACTTAAAAAAAAAAAAATTCTAGTTTTTATGTCTATTTGAACAAGGTGTAGGTATTTACAAATATGTTCTTATTAATAATGATAACATAATTGAACAACTCAAACACTCAGTTCAGATGGCCTGTTAGACAGAAGATTTAAATTAAACCTACGAAAAACGAACACACCATAATTATAAATGCCAACAACCAACCAAAACATGTAGACTAACTCGGATGACGGGATAGACCCATCAATTATTTCGTCTTTTTAAAAATAAATCCACCCAATTAGAAATCCACCGATCATCCTTTTTTGTGGGGTTCTTCTGTTCATTTATTTGACCATCCGTCTGTTTTCGTGACAGATCTATTGATTCAATCATAAGCGCATCCTAGGAGATTGGTATATATATTGTTTAAATTTGTAACTTTTCAAAGTTGCGCTAATTATGTGAGCCATGAATGAGATTGGTATATATATTGTTTAAATTTGTAACTTTTCAAAGTTGCGCTAATTATGTGAGCCATGAATGAGATTGGTATATATATTGTTTAAATTTGCAACTTTTCAAAGTTGCGCTAATTATGTGAGCCATGAATGAGATTGGT